TTTCCTGCACCTTTTCCACCCACGGAGGACGACCCGGACACCGCAGCTGCTTTGATGGCCCGCCGACAGCGTGAGGACGGGTGGTGTTATTACCATTCCAGGTTTGGGGCCAAGGCCAAGCAGCATCCTGCCGGCGAAGCCAGTGGACATCATGGCTGGCGGGCATGGCCCCCCGATGGACGCCACCAATGGCACACCCATTCGTACCTATGGCACAAGGTATGTGGAAGTTCGGCGAACGGCGTTTCAGCTGGGACTTTGTCATGGCCGCCGTGTCTACATCGCTCCTGGGGGTGATTTTCTTCTGCGCTTACAGACTGTTGGTGGATGTTACAAACCGCCGCCTGATCGACGCCCTCTCTTTAGGTTCGTACCCCTGCACGCTGGGAGGGATGGGGGCGATTTGTCTGTCGAACACGCTTGCCACCAGGGACCTGTATCAACCCCTTCTTGCTGAGTTCCCTGACATCACCACGCCCACGTTTTCATCGGCGGTGGCTAAGCATGGCGTGGAGCACTACATCACAGTCTATGCACAAGCTCGGCACCTCGACTCTGCCAAGCTTGCGATCGCCAGGGAGGAGTTCGCCACCATGGAGCACCTCGGCATTGTGCACCGCTCCAACAGCCCGTGGGCTTCCCCCCTGCACATGGTGACCAAGGCTGATGGCGGTTGGCGTCCCTGTGGTGATTTCCGTCGCCTGAACAACACCACCACCCCCGACCGGTACCCTGTGCCGCACATACAGGACTTCTCTGCCCACCTAGCCGGCGCCACCATTTTCTCGAAGGTGGACCTGGTGCGCGGTTACAACCAGGTGCCTGTCCACCCACAGGATGTCCCCAAGACAGCGCTCATCACACCCTTTGGCCTTTTCGAATTCCTACGGATGCCTTTCAGCCTCAAGGGTGCAGCGCAGACGTTTCAATGCCTCATGGACTCTGTGCTGAGGGACATGCCGTTCCTGTCCTGACGCATCTCCGGCAGCTGTTCGGCCGGCTCAGTGAGCATGGTCTCATCATCAACCCGGCCAAGTGCAAGTTTGGCCGGTCGTCCATCACTTTCCTTGGCCATCACGTCCACCGGCCTACCACCCCGCAAGACATTGTACAATGGTCGCATGAGCTGGGCCCCATGGGGGAGGAAACGGTTGTAGAAGTTCACCATGCCCAGGAACTCCTGCAGGGACTTCACAGTGCGTGGGAACTTGGCGACGACGTCCACCTTGGCCGGGAGGGGGTCCCGGCCAAGGTGGACGTCGTCGCCAAGTTCCCACGCATGAGCTGGGCCCCATGGGGGAGGAAACGGTTGTAGAAGTTCACCATGCCCAGGAACTCCTGCAGGGACTTCACAGTGCGTGGGAACTTGGCGACGACGTCCACCTTGGCCGGGAGGGGGTCCCGGCCAAGGTGGACGTCGTCGCCAAGTTCCCACGCACTGTGAAGTCCCTGCAGGAGTTCCTGGGCATGGTGAACTTCTACAACCGTTTCCTCCCCCATGGGGCCCAGCTCATGCGACCATTGTACAATGTCTTGCGGGGTGGTAGGCCGGTGGACGTGTTGGATTGGTCCGCAGAGATGACTGGTGCTTTTGATGCTGCCAAAACTGCGCTGGCCAACGCTGCTCTGCTAGCTTACCCATCTCTAACCGCCCTAGTTGCTCTTACTATGGACGCCTCTGATTACGCCGTAGGGGCTGTGTGTGAACAGTGGGTGGGCGGAGCCTGGCAGCCGCTGGCCTTTTTCAGCAGGAAGCTTCGGGACAACGAGAGGAAATACAGCGCCTTCGACAGGGAGCTCCTGGGTCTTTTCCTCGCCACCCATCATCTCCGTTTCCTGTTGGAGGGCCGGCGGTTCACGGCTTTCGTTGACCACAAGCTGCTGACGTTTGCCATGGCCAAGTCTTCGGAGCCATGGTCTGGTCGACAGTAGCGTCAGCTCTCTGCCATCTCCGAGTATACCACTGACATGTGGCCGGCAAAGACAATTTCGTTGCCGACTGCCTCTTCCGGATGGTCACTGGTTCCGTCCATTTGGGCCTCGACTATGCCGCCATGGCTGAGGATCAGACCGTGGACTCTGAGGTGCAAGCCTACAGGACGGCCCCCACGGCGCTGCTCATGGAAGATGTGGTGTTTGACACGGCCAACACTACACTCCTCTGCGACGTCTCCACTGGCCAACCGAGCCCCATGGTACCTGCTGGCTGGAGGCATAAGGTTTTTGACGCTATCCACGGCCTTTCCCACCCGGGGGTGAAGGCCTCTACCAAGCTGGTGGGGGCCAAGTTCGTTTGGCCGGGCCTGCGGAGGGACGTCAGGGCCTGGGCTGCTGCCTGTGTGGCGTGCCAGCGCGCAAAAGTGACTCGTCATACCAAGGCGGCTTTGGCACCCTTCAAAGTGCCAGAGAGACGTTTTGATCATGTGAATGTGGACCTGGTGGGCCCACTTCCCCCCTCCCGTGATTACACCTACCTCCTCACCATGGTGGACAAGACCACTCGGTGGCCCGAGGTGGTTCCCCTGTCCTCCACTACATCAGCTGAGGTGGCCCGGGCGTTCATTATGGCCTGGGTGGCCCATTTCGGCACACCGTCCGACCTCTCCTCAGACCGAGGTCCGCAGTTCACATCAGAGCTTTGGACTGCGGCCGCTGAGGTCCTGAGGGTGAAGGTCCACCGTAAACAGCCTATAACCCACAGAGCAACGGACTTTGCGAACGGTTTCATCGTGACATGAAGGCCGCGCTCAGGGCCAGCCTTACGGGCAGTGACTGGGCTGACCGCCTCCCATGGGTTATGCTTGGCCTTCGCTCCGCCCCCAAGGAAGATCTTCAAGCCTCATCGGCCGAGCTGGTGTGCGGCCAGCCTCTGCGCGTCCCGGGGGAGTTTCTTCCAGATGCCACGGCCCTGTGGTCAGTTGCCTCCCATCGTGCTGTGTCTCGGGACATTGCAGACGCTTTTGTTCCCATTCCAAAGTCTCACCATGGCCTCCCCCAGTCCTACGTGCCCAAGGATTTACCGTCAGCCAAGTATGTCTTCATCCGCCATGATGGCCATCGTACCCCACTGCGGCCCCCCTATGATGGGCCCTTCTGTGTCTTGGTTGGAGGGTCTAAGAACTTCGTTGTGGATATGGGGGGCAGGCCTGAGCGGGTGGCTATAGACCGTTTCAAGCCTACTCATGTGGATATTGGCGAACCGTTTCAGCTGGCCCTGCCCCCACGGCGAGGGCGCCCCCCTGCGGCATCCTCGAACCATGCCCTTGCCCTTTGCCCTTCTCCTATTAAGCGCAGCCGGTATGGCCGCCCCCCTACACATTGACTTTTCTAGCTGTTTTGCACTAGTGGATAGTGTCCTATGTTCTATTTGGGGTACCTGTTCGGTCTGGCCCTGTTATTTATGGGTGAATTCTGGGGGGCCTGTCTGGTGACCCACAAGAGAGACATTCACCAAGGGACTGTACCTTTAAGGGAGAGGTTAAGATACAGAAGTTACGGGTTAACGTTGTGTGGTTGTTTTGATCTGACTCGCTGTACAGTTATAGAATTATTGAAGTGGAGAGTAAAGCTGACTCGACGCATCTCCGTCTCTTGTCTCCTCATTTATTGCACTCCACACTTTGATCTATCTTTGTATGTACTGGCAGGGTAGAGTAGTGAGATACGAACGCTATGTGTTTACTGATGTATACGTTAGTTCATTGAAAGATTGATGTTACAGCTAATGACCATAAACTTTTTTTCGCGATTTGCAAAGCTTAATATAAAGGTTAATAAAACTTTACACTGACTTCTTCTGGAGGTGCAGCAGGAACACGAATAGTTGGTACCGATTCTTTTTTCAGGAGCAGCTTCTTAGCAAGACCAGCTTTATACTGATCCTCGTTTATAAAGCAGTCTGGTGAGAAATGATTCGCGCAAACATGAACGCATTGAAGTTGATCGTGGGGAATATTCCCTTCGAAAACTAAACTCAGCCACTGCGTCTTCAGCGGTTCGGATTTAGGAACATCAAAATGACTGTGTTCGTTATTACACCCAAGAACAGAACACCACAATCGCTTAGACGCCATTCTGCTCCAGCGTATCAACAATGGCGGACTATGATGACAGCTCGCTCAGGGCGGGTCTGTGTTGAAACGCTGCTGTCAATCAACAATCGTGGGAGGGGCTTCCGACCGTGTGATGTCACACGGTCGAACGGCTCGATTTGAGGCAGGGGAAAACATAAGGAGATAAAAAAAAAAAAAAACACTGGATGGATTTTTATCATTTTATGATGGTTGTGTACAGGCACTGCCAACACACATTTCAGTACAATCAACTTGTAAAAGTGCATGTACCATTATATGACCCCTTTAAACCTGTCACACTCGATCTCCTCCAGTTCTTCTGTCTCTGATTAATAGTTTAGACTCTTTTATCAAGTAAAAATCTTTCAGTATAATTGTACAAACATCCACCTTCAGCTTGTGAAAATCTCTACTGATTTTTATCAAGTAAATGTATAACTTTGTTATTGTTAGTAATATTTCAAGATGAACACTGACTGGACTGAATCCGCTTCCTTTGGTGTTTTCCCAAAAATGAAATTCTGCATTTGAATATGTGCGTGAACTATCCCTTTAAAGCATGTGATTCCACAGCAAATATGGGCGATAGGATATGCTGTCATGCTCTATGGCATCTGTTTTTAATAAATTATAACAAATAATAATAATAATGAAATGGTAAACTATACCATCTACTCCACTTTCCCACAGCACAGTTTGAAATGGGTAATAGATATGAATTAAAGATTTTAATTAAGTAATTTTAATGTTGGGTTTTAGGGAATTGAATTTTCATTGTCATTGTTTTATATGATAAACGATTTGTGCATTGTGTTTGTTAATTAACACTTGTTCAGTGTATATATAAAAAAAGCAAAAGCAGTTCAACAGCATTCAATCAAAATAGAATAAGACACTTTATAGATGTGCTGTTTTGTCTGTCCACAGGAAAGCGTTATTTGAGACTCCAGCCAGTCACAGCAGCACCAGTGGACAGCATGTGGTGTATGAGACGGTGTGCGCAAAGACAGGTGAGGAAACACACACACTCTCTCTCTCTCTCTCTCTCTCACACACACACACACCCTGTGGTTGATCATGGGTGCACTGACTAACAAGTCAGTCTCATTGCCAGCACACTGCACTCAATAATCAATTGGACAAGTACAAAATTAAATTCATTAATCTTTGGTGAATTATCCATTGTCACTTTCAGTATGGCTATTAAAGGAGTAGTTCACTTCAGAATTAAAGTTTCCTGATAATTTACTCTCCTCCACGTCATCCAAGATGTTCATGTCTTTCTTTCTTCAGTGGAAAAGAAATGAAGGTTTTTGAGGAACACACTCCAGGATTTTCTCCATATAGTGACTTCAATGGGGTCCAACGGGTCGAAGGTCCAGATGTGAGTTTCAGTGCAGCTTCAAAGTCTCGACACGATCCAGCCGAGGAATAAGAGTCAGATCTAGACAAACCAGCGGACATTTATAACAAAATAAACATTTATATACTTTTAACCACTAATGCTGGTCTTGCACGAGCTGTGATGCGACACACATTAAGTGATCAGGTTGAAAGGTCAAGCGTGTTCCGGGTCAGAAATGTAAAGTAGGGTGAAAAACTCATATCCAATTTTCTCCTCCAACCTCAAAATCATCCGACATCATTGTTTTACCTTTTTTTTTGTAAATGGTATTTGTCTTAGTCTTTGCACGCTTGCTTTGTAAACACTGGGTCGGTTCTTACACCTACGTCACACTTGACCTTTCAACCTGATCACGTAATGTGTGTCGCATCACTAGTGCAAGACCAGCATTAGTGGTTAAAAGTATATAAATGTGTATTTTGTTATAAATGTCCGCTGGTTTGTCTAGATCAGACTCTTATTCCTCGGCTGGATCGTGTCGAGACTTTGAAGCTGCACTGAAACTCACATCTGGACCTTCGACCCGTTGGACCCCATTGAAGTCACTATATGGAGAAAATCCTGGAGTGTGTTCCTCAAAAACCTTCATTTCTTTTCCACTGAAGAAAGAAAGACATGAACATCTTGGATGACGTGGAGGAGAGTAAATTATCAGGAAATTTAAATTCTGAAGTGAACTACTCCTTTAAGGTCACGCAAAATACTCAAACTCACATTAGATGCTTTAAACATTAAATAAAGCACATAATCAGTACCTGAGATGATCATGGTCATACTTTTTATGTTGTTGTTCTTCCGGCCGCAACGTCGCAGAATTAGAAACTGTTTCTAAAAATACGCTGGTGTCGCAGCTGGTTAGGAATGAGTTGAATGTTGAACGCTGGAGCTCATGCCAGTTCAGGCGCTGGTATTTTAATGCGGACTCTGGGCAGCGGGTTCGAGGCCGCCGCCGCTCCGCCAGCTGTTCACAGGGTTTGGGACGTGTCACTGAGATCGTGTTAGTGTGAATATGAGGCGCATGTGATCCTCCAACAGCTGCTGTGAGCGGATATTGAAGAACACGCTAATGCTAATGCTAACAGTGCCGGCTCATCCGGTCATATGAAGCTCCTGTCATGCAGTGTGCATTATTGAGATTTGCTTGCTTTATTATGCTGGTGTCAGGTGTTTGATGTAAATTATTACACACAGAGTTGAGTGCTTCATTCAGAAGAGCTGAAGTGACCGCTGTGTGTAAGTGTGGGGTCAGTGAGATTGTGTGTCTGTGTGATACAACGTTTCGGATCGGTAAGATTTTTAATGTTTTTAAAATAAGTTTATTCTGCTCACCAAGGCTGCATTTATTTGATAAAAAAAATACACACACACACACACAAAAACAGGAATATTGTGAAATATTATTGCAATTTAAAATAACTGTTCTATGTGAATATATAATAAAGTGTAATTTATTCCTGTGATCAAAGCTGTATTTTCAGCATCATTACTCCAGTCTTCAGTGTCACATGATCCTTCAGAAATCACTCTAATATGAGGATCTGATGCTCAAGAAACATTTATGATTATTATCAGTGTTGAAAACAGTTATTTCAGGATTCTTTGATGAATTGAAAGGACAAAAGAACAATTTATTTGAAATAGAATCTTTTGAAACATTATAAATGTCTTTACTATAACTTTTGATCAATTTAATTCATCCTTGATGAATAAAAGTATTGATTTCTTTTATTTATTTCCCTCAACAACAAAAAATAATAATCTTACTGACCTCAAACTTTTGAATGGGAGTGTTTAATGTTACAAAAGCTTTTTCAGATAAACGCTGTTATTTTGAACTTTCTATTCATCAAATAATCCAGAAATAAAAATGTAAATAACTGTTTTCAACACTGATAATAATCATAAATGTTTCTTGAGCATCAGATCCTCATATTAGAGTGATTTCTGAAGGATCATGTGACACTGAAGACTGGAGTAATGATGATAAATACAGCTTTGATCACAGGAATAAATTACACTTTACTATATATTCACATAGAGAACAGCTGTTTAATATTGTAATAATATTTCACAATATTATTATTTTTTTTATTTTTTTTATCAAATAAATGCAGCCCTAGTGAGCAGAAGAGACTTATTTTAAAAAACATTAACAATCGTACCGATCCAAAACCTCTGACCGGCGGTGTGTATATAAGTGATATGCCATCGTTGGACTGGAAATGTGTATTGAGAGTGTTTTGTCAGTTGTTCCTTTTCAAAGCCTGTAAAACACATTGCGTGTAAGACGTCCTCGGCTCCTCAATAACTGCAGTTCACAGATGCTCTTCCTCCATTGTTCAGTGGTCAGCTGGGAAAGAGCTGTGCGAGGACCGCGTGTTGTTTCAGCGTGGATGAGAGCGGCCGGCTCTGATGGGAGTTAGCGCTGATCCATGCGCTCGCATTCTCTGAGATCAGCCGTCAGGACACATCAGCGTATCCTCTCAGCGCTCCACATTAGCCGTAAACAGACCTCCATTGTTGTGATGTCTTTCCTTTTCTTTCTTTTCACTCGACCTCATCTCACCAGACTTCACACTCACACACATTTGAGCCAAATGCTTTCAAACTGGTTTTCACTCCAAGAATGTACCCCATTTTTAAGCGTTGGCTCAATTTATGGCTCAAAGTCAAAACGATGAAGAGCTTGTGTCTGATGAGTGGATCTCTGGAAGACTAGAGCACCACAGTATCAGAGGAAAAGAAATCATTGACATGGATGTAATACAGTCCTTTTTCTTTTTTTTTTGCTGAAATACCATCATTTTTTTATGGAAATCAAAATTAAAGGCAGTACAGCAAATTCTATCATGATAATGGCAGTATACACTCACCGGCCACTTTATTAGGTACACCTGTCCAACTGCTCGTTAACACTTAATTTCTAAGCAGCCAATCACATGGCGGCAACTCAGTGCATTTAGGCATGTAGACATGGTCAAGACAATCTCCTGCAGTTCAAACCGAGCATCAGTATGGGGAAGAAAGGTGATTTGAGTGACTTTGAACGTGGCATGATTGTTGGTGCCAGAAGGGCTGGTCTGAGTATTTCAGAAACTGCTAATCTACTGGGATTTTCACGCACAACCATCTCTAGGGTTTACAGAGAATGGTCCGAAAAAGAAAAAACATCCAGTGAGCGGCAGTCCTGTGGGCGAAAATGCCTTGTTGATGCCAGAGGTCAGAGGAGAATGGCCAGACTGGTTCGAGCTGATAGAAGGGCAACAGTGACTGAAATAACCACTCGTTACAGCCGAGGTATGCAGCAAAGCATTTGTGAAGCCACAACACTCACAACCTTGAGGCGGATGGGCTACAACAGCAGAAGACTCCACCGGGTACCACTCATCTCCACTACAAATAGGAAAAAGAGGCTACAATTTGCAAGAGCTCACCAAAATTGAACAGTTGAAGACTGGAAAAATGTTGCCTGGTCTGATGAGTCTCGATTTCTGTTGAGACATTCAGATGTTAGAGTCAGAATTTGGCGTAAACAGAATGAGAACATGGAACCATCATGCCTTGTTACCACTGTGCAGGCTGGTGGTGGTGGTGTAATGGTGTGGGGGATGTTTTCTTGGCACACTTTAGGCCCCTTAGTGCCAATTGGGCATCGTTTAAATGCCACGGCCTACCTGAGCATTGTTTCTGACCATGTCCATCCCTTTATGGCCACCATGTACCCATCCTCTGATGGCTACTTCCACCATGTCACAAAGCTCTAATCATTTCAAATTGGTTTCTTGAACATGACAATGAGTTCACTGTACTAAAATGGCCTCCACAGTCACCAGATCTCAACCCAATAGAGCATCTTTGGGATGTGGTGGAACGGGAGATTCGCATCATGGATGTGCAGCCGACAAATCTGCGGCAACTGTGTGATGCCATCATGTCAATATGGACCAAACTCCCTGAGGAATGCTTCCAGCACCTTGTTGAATCTATGCCACGAAGAATTGAGGCAGTTCTGAAGGCAAAAGGGGGTCCAACCCGTTACTAGCATGGGGTACCTAATAAAGTGGCCGGTGAGTGTATATAAGTTAAACTATATCTATATATATATATATATTTCAAGATTGTATATATATATATATACAGTGTATATATATATATACAGTTCCCTCTATTAATATTGGCACCTTTGGTAAAAATGAGCAACGGTAGGTGTGAAAATAAATCTGCATTGTTTATCCTTTTGATCTTTCATTCAAAAAATTCATAAAATTCTACACTTTCATTGAAGTGAAACAATTGAACGTGGGGGGAAACTCACATTATGAAATAACTCTTTTTCTCCAATGCATGTTGGCCACAATTATTGGCACCCCTTGAAATTCTTATGAGTAAAATCTCTATGAAGTATATTCCCATTCATATTTACTTTTTTTTTTTATCACACCAGGGTGACTAGGAGCATGAAATTGTTCATAGTTTCACAGGAGTTTAAATATGAGGAAACACAAAGGCCAAATTCCCTTAATCATCCATCACAATGAGTAAAACATTAAATATAGTTCTGATGTGCATCAAAAGATTGTTGAGCATCACAAAATAGAAAGAGCTGTAAGAAAATAGCTAAAGTATTAAATATCCCATTTCCACCATCAGAGCAATAATTAAGAAGTTCCAATCAACTAAAGATGTAGTGAATCTGCCAGGAAGAGGGCATGTGTCTAATGTACGGCGAGGAGGAGAGTCTGAGTGGCCAAAGACTCTCCAAGGATCACAGATGGAGAACTGCAGAGATTAGTTGAGTCTTGGGGTCAAAAAGCCTTAAACAAAGAAATCTAACAACCCCTAAATCAGCACTAGTTGTTTGGGAGGATTTCAAGAAGTAAAGATGCTAAAAAATCAGCTTTGATCACAGGAATAAATGGCATTTTACAATATATTACAATATGAAATAGTTATTTTAAATTGGAATAATATTTGGTAACACTTTACATAATTGAGCGAATCACACTTGTTATAAACATGCATAAAACCTCCTTCATATCCATGACATGTGTCCTGTCATGATTATGAAGGTGTCATGTCAGTCTTATGCACACCCCTTCAAGTAAAGTGTTACCTAATATTTCAATATTTTCAAATAAATTGACTTCTTTCAAAACCATCAAGTAATCTTATTTATTGCACACTTTTGGCTTGTATGTGGTGTGTCCTGCGCTGTAGAAAGGTTTGCTGAGACTCACATCAGTCAGAGACAGCAGGAACATGTCTTCCCCTCTTCACTCGCGTCAGCTTCCAGCAGTCGAGTCACTGGATTGGAAGCCAGGCGTGATGTTTTCATTCTCCTGTGCCGTAAGGCCTCGGGGTGTAAAAGACCACCAAAATAAACAGAGTGTATGGAGAGGGAATGAAAGGGAATAGTGTTCAGCAGCTCTGGGAACGTCTTTGCTCCTGTCGGATCAGTGCAGAGAGAGAGAGAGAGTCTGCTCTTATCAAACCTTCAGCCTTCAGCTTCTGAATCTTGAAAAAGATCTTATTTTCTTATCCTCATAGTTTGACTTGGATTTCACCAGCAAAGAACTGGTCGTTTCAGGAATCAGTGAGCGCGTTTACATGCATCATTTTGCACCCAATACAATTTGGTCTTATTGGGAGTCATTCATCAGTGCATGTTATTCCAAAATAAATGTTTGTCTTCATAATCAGTGTGTAATAACTTATTCCATAACCTTTTTCTGTCACCTAATGTCATCAATGACTCATTTTTTACATTCAACTTCATATAAACAGTCTTTCACCATGCAGTCAAGGCATTATTTCTTCATTGAATATCTATTTTTATGTCACGAGTTCTTGTGAACTTTAAAGGGATAGATCGCCCAAAAATGAACATTTTGTCAATTATTACTCACCCTCATGTCGTTGCAAACCCGTAAGACCGTCGTTCATATTCGGGACTAGAAGATCTTTTTGATTAAATCTGAGAGGTTTCTGTCCCTCCTTTGACAGCTACACAACTGATACTTTGACAATTCAAAGAAAATTCATAAAGAGATCGTAAAACGAATCCATTAATGAGCGGCTCAGTCCAAATTTTCTGAAGAGCCTCGTTAGCTTGATTATGATGATGAACGGATTGAATTTAGGCTTTTATTCACATCTAAACATTCATTAACTCACACATCAGTTATGATAAACGGAAACTCAAGCATGTTCACTTGACGTGGAATAACCAATGAGATTCATTCTTGTTACGCAGCACGATTGAGCTTCAGCAAGAAGAACCAATGAGGTTTGTTCTCGCGTTTCAAGCAGATTCAGTTGAGCTTCTGTGTATGTACGCTGATCAATGTTTAGGGATGTAACGATTCATTCGCAACCGGTTGAAAATCGATAAAAATGTGTGACGATTCAAGTCGGTTGAAATGTTAAACGAATCGCGATACACGTTTTAAACAGCAGGGCGCGTTTACTGTAGCCTACTGTGAAGTTGTGAACCTCGCTTTACAGGCACAATACACAAGTTTATGAGCCGTTTCCGCTCTACATCCTAAACTCCTCCCGTCGATGCAACCCACTTCCGTTCTGGCGGGCTGGGTTTGTTTTGCTAGCTAGCTCCGACAAAGCGCTGATATCGCAGTGACATAACAATTACAACATGAAGAAATGTGGTTCGGGAACGATGTGTGTGGTAGTTGGTTGTAAACACTCGAGAAAGCACCTGAACGAGTGGTTAGATAGAGAGTGCTACGACCGCAAACCAGCTACGAAGAGGCAATGTCCATGCGCTCCATTGTTTACACACAAACACACTCACACACAGTATCGCGCCCGCGCCTCTCTCTCTCACATACACAGTTCGATCGCCTAATTATTATCATCATGGCACACACAAACACTTTGCACTCTAGCTAAGAAGTCTATGATATAGTTCGGATACCAACGTCAGGAAGACATTCACTGACAGCGCGTTCTCTTTTGTCTTGTCGCGCATGAGTGGTTTAAACTAAAGCATTTGCGTGAATAAGAGCATGGTCATAACCCTAGCAAAAGGATGACAGAAAGAACATGCTACTGCATTTTATGGGTTAGTTTCGACATTTAAAGGTATTTTAACAGGTAAAAGGGCTGGATTTTGACAGCAGGCAAAACAATGCAGAGTCATAAGGATAATTGCAAAAGAGATCATGTCTTTATTTATAGCTCAGCAGTAAGTCATGTTATTATAGGTTACAGTCCGTTTTCCAAATACAAACACGTATTCCATCCGCAACAACAGGCTTCTTTTATTTCCTATAATCATGTAAATGTCATCCCTGATTAAGCTATAAACTGCAAACACTTATTTGGCCACAATTGTTATTATTATGTTAAAAGAAACATTAAAGTATCACACAGATACATTTGCTATTACCACGGACATAAACTGATAGTTATTTGCACGTTACTGTTTGATCTAGCTGTGTATGACATGACACAACCGACTTTGTTGCTGTGCAGATATTGATATGCCTCGGCGGCTTTCAGATTGTCCAATTGCTTTTCCATCTATTGCCATGGATTGCACGAAGTAGGAGCAAATCTCGCTGTACGTTATGCGGGGCCACGTCGTCATGTTAGTGTTCTGCACTGAATTCGGGTGGATTTTTTTTTTTTTTTACCGTCGCTGTGTTTACGGTTTACACCGGCAGACGCTGTGCAAACCACTTCCGGCGGAAATGAAGTGCATTTGAGTAGAGTTATGGCGGCGCCCATGATTTGGCGCGTAAACTTGTGTATAGCAGCGAGCACACACTGGCGCGAAGCTAGCGAGTGTTTTCACTTTATTCATGGAACTTGATCTTGTGTGAGTCGAGCTCAACTTCCATAGGAATGAACTAAAAACGCTCGGTTTGCTCCGCTCGCGCCGCGCCAGTGTGTGCACGCGCCGTCAAACAGTAGACATGGCGACGGCAAGCGTAGATGTTGACGTTGACTCATTCAAATCGGAGGTGTGGCGGCATTTTGACTTTCTGTAGACTAATAATAATCACCACCGTGAGAAGCACAAGTCACCTCCGTGTTCATGTAAAAGGCATTAATACGACAATTGCGAGAGCCACGGAGATCACAGGGTGCATCAGTGTTTCCGTGGCAACCAGGTGTTTATTTTACCATCTCTTTCTCTAAATGTGTGTGTTTTTTAAACTCTTACTAGTGTAATGATACAAATTATAACAAAATTAGAATCTTGCCTCTATTACAATGTAAAACCCCTGTCAATCTGGTCATTTTACACAGTCTTTTACATAGTGTGCGAAGGTACCAGTGTCCAGCCTCTTGACCAAACAGACAGAAAGGGAATTTTTTTTATGTAGTTTTATTATTTGACAAATATATTTTAAATTAAAAAGAAATGTGCAGCATTTTGTCTGAGAAATAATAAAAGGGACACTTTTGTCTTAAATCTCATTTGTTAAAAAAAAAATCATGAAACCAGTATCGTGAATCGTATCGCATCGTGAGATGAGTGAATCGTTAAATCCTTATTTATATGTGAATAAAAGCCTAAATTAAATGTGTTCATCTTATGAAGTGATCGAGTCTCTTTAGAAAATTGTGACTAAACCGCTCAATTCATATGGATTATTTTTACGATCTCCTTATGAACTTTTTGAAATGTCAAAGTGGTAGTTGCGTAGCTGTCAATGGAGGGACAGAAAAGATCTTCATTTGTGTTCCGAAGACGAACACAAGTCTACGGGGTTGGAAACGACATGAGGGTGAGTAAATATTTTTCATTTTCAGGTGTACTATGCCTTTAAGGCCCATTATCTGACTAATCATTTTTTTACACAGCTATTGATCAACAGATTAAATAATTAATCAATAACATTAATCATCATTATATTATTAATGGCAATAAATGACAATAATGATTTAAATGCGTATCAGGTGTGGCCAAGCTTCAGGCATAGGCTTTCACTGCCAAAAAAGCAGAAAAAGTGTAAAGTACTTTGCAAGATTTGCACTTTTTGTTTTTAAGTGGTCAGAGGTTCACTTAAAGCAAACTTTTTTTTTTTGCCTTTACAAATGTTTAAAGCCCAAATGTACTGAAAGTGATAAATGGTTGACTATTTGTATGACTAAAAAGTGTCAAGCACAGCTTTGATATTACGCAAAATGGCAACAGAAATGCATTTCTAAAACAGCTTTCCTTAAAGCACTACTGGTCTGAAGAGTATTTTTAATAAAGTGATTTGATGACGTGATTTTTTTCTCGTTTTAATCACGTAAATATGCAATTATGACTCTATTTGTCTTTTACTCAATGTAGATTGGAATTCAATTACAGCTCATACGTGTGCATGTTGATTCATTGTGTTGTTGTGTGTTCACAGGTCTGTCCGTGTACAGTAAACTCTTCCACGTTCAGGGCTCCAAGAACAGATGAACGAGGCCAAAGGTCAACCGTACCAATCAGCTGCTCTCTGGGATACGTTACACACGTCCTCTTCTACACCCTCCAGCTGCTCAGAACATGAACATGAAGAGTTCAGCTCTTGACTTTACCTGTTTCTCTCTTTACACTGTCTTCTGATAATCAATATTTCCCCTCAAATGCCTCCTAACCGGCCTCGTGTGTCTTTATGAGTGTGTGATAGTACGCAACACTGCATCGAGTGGATCTGTTCCAAAGGTTTTTCCGAAAGCGCTCTCTCTCTCTCTCTCGCTGTCCCATACGTGCAGTTGTCCAGGCTTCATTTTCACCCCACAACTGATGCCATGTGAAGAGCGAGTGGACTGACGACTCAGGACAGCTGGTGCTCGAGCACACCAACATCAACCTGTCCATCATATATATCCATGTTTACATGTACATACAGAAGACTTCAACCTTCATCACCGCTCGTTAATGATCTCTTAACAACTTCTGTGGAAGTGCCTCATTCAGGTGTGATGAACCACATGTCCAGGTAAAGTTGATGTCGTTCGTGAAGGTTTTCTGTCGTTGGATCTGTAAAACTAATAATTACAATCTCTCTTTAACATACAATGGCAGTTTTTTGACCAATGTCCTGGTAATGCTTGCTGATGGGATTATGTTGTGTTTTCAGTTTGATTTTAGTTGAACGCCTCACTTTTATAACCTAGCCAAACACCAGTAAATCACAGCACCTCATTCATGCAACAGAAACAGAACAAATTTCTCACAAATCGCCACTTTGAGTTGAATGTTACACCTGATGTAAAACACAGTTCACATAAATTCAATTTGTGTTTCATGAATGAGGCCGATTATGCAAGATTGACCTTGTTTAATGTTGATTTTAGTTCATACAGTATTTGTATATTGTTTTCTCTCCTGAATTGACTTGAATTTCCTTTCATGACCAGAGCAATGAAACTTGATTAACATGCTAACATGCTAGTACCCTTTTTATCGTTCAGTTGTATCAGTAAACTGGAAGAAATGTCAGCTACTTTTCGTGATGACTTTTGTGTTATGGAAATAATAAGCTGTCACCATTTTTAATCGTCAAGAAGAATTCAAGACAAACTTCAAACATCATCAACAGTTCTTTTTGTCCAAGACTGTTTAATTAAAAAAGTGTTTTCAGGAGTAATAGCAGTAAAAACTTTAGCAGTTTGTGATCTAAAAGTTCATGTGTCGGCATACGTCAGCTTCACTGAAGAACTAAAAATCAAAAGTCAAGTCAATGTTTTCTCATATTTCTTTCCAGCATGTTTGTATTAACAATATCAGTAACACCGTCACGTTAGACGAACAGTGTCGATTACTGTAGTACACACTAAAATGTTCTGTTTGGGAAATGATGCTCAATTGAGTTGCGTTATACAGAAACCATCAGCTGATCCAGCATGTGTCGTCTCAGAGCGACTGTCCTCGGTACAGATGTTACGGAGCTTTGCATTGCCGTTTCAGAGTTCAGAAATGGCACGAGGTTTGCCTAGAGGCGGTTTAAAAAGCTGACCAAAAATGACACATTACAAGTGGACAAGTCACTTCAAACATCAAAGTTCGAGGGGTCGTCTGATGTAGTGCTTGGAGAAGCCTCTGGCTCCTGGGTTTGGATGTGTGTGTGTGAGAAGGATGAACAGAGGTATTCATTCAGAGTCCAGTTCCTTTCGGCCCTCGAGCGCTCGAACCCGCGTCCGGGCTCCGTGTCGGGGTCTGGAGGCCCTTCAGCTGCACTTGCAGGATTTGACGATCATGTTGGAGAGCTGCTCCACTTTAGGTATCCGGCCCACGTAGTAGAGGATGGTGAGCGGCTCCAGGTCTTGAGGAACGCAGCAGGGGGACGCGGACGCCTCGGGGTTCAGCGTGTTGTACAGGCTCAGCAGCTGCGGAGAGATCAGGAACATCACCTCAGGTACCAGCGCTTACTATAGACTACACACCTCGTCTCCAGCAGATTCACATTAAAGGGAAAGTTCACAATTCTGGGACCATCAGAATAAAGAGTTGGCAGATTTTAAGCAGACAGTCAATGGGCTATATGCACGCATAACTTCCGCGTTTGACGCAAGGATGCTCGTGCGTTTACGGTTGGGGAGATTTAAAGCGGAGGAAAACCGAGGAAAACGGGATTATGGCAGAGTCTTCAAAATTTACTGTCCTCTCGTCTTTGAAACGAAACTTTAATACGTTTAGATGTAATTTTATATATAGTTATGTTTATTTAATATAATAAACAAAGAAGCATAAACAAAATGAGGGGTGTCTGTTTTGTCTGTTTTTGTGACTAACGTTTCTTTAGTACAGCAATAGAGTATAAAACCAATATAAATTCTCGGTATAGCATTGGACTCTACGATCGGCGGAAGTAATCCAGCATCCTTAGACCTTCACCGGAAATACCGCCGTGCATAGAGCCCATTGATACTCTAATGAGAGTTAGCTGACATGTAGTTGCAAAGTTACTTATAGTTAGTAGAATGTCTAAAGTGGACTATTGACATTAAGGGCGTTTTCACACCTGAAAGTCCGAACCAAAGTTCACGTTTTGATACATTTTATACTTGGTTTCACACTGCAGATATGCGAGCGCACTGAAGAACTTTACGTGACACACACTTGCGTCCTGTCGTCATCATCTGTGTGTGCTGCATCTTGACATTGATTGGTTTGTAAATGGACGTGCGTCTGACGTCAGCGTGTTGTTGATTCGGCGGGTAACTTTGACAACATGAATGAACAGACGCATATCGCTGCAACTATATTGTTATTTTTATGGCATAATTACCTGCAGCACCAACTGTACACAAGGCTAATGAACGTCCTCGTCGTGCGAACATTTCATCGTCGCCGGCAGGAAAGGAGGAGAAGACTGCAAGTTGACTTCTTATTATGTCATCAGACCATACTTTAATTAAAAACCTCGTCTCCTCCTCTCCCCATGTGCCACGGCTCATTTCTCCTGCCACCTTCTGTTTTTCGGATATGCGGGAACCACCAGAACCGCCAAAGGTCTGAAAGTCCGAACCGTACAGAAATGCTTTCACACTAGAAACGAACTAAACCTTTGTTCAGTTTGATCCGGACCGAGACTACCTCTTTTCGTCGGACCAAATGTCGTCTGTTTGGTCCGGACCGTGGTCCGGGAGAGGTTTCACACCTGTCATTTTGATTTGGACCAAACTGAAAAGTCAGAAAGTCCGGACCAAACAAGGTAGGTGTGAAAGGGCCCTAAGTGTTCCCAATCTCTGTCAGTAATTCCTCGCCCTCATGTCGTTCCAAACCTGTGAGACTTTCGTTCATCTTCGCAACACAAATGAAGATCTTTTTGATGAAATCTGAGAGTTTTCTGATCTCTCCATAGACTGCGATGTCACTGCAACTTTCAAGGCCCAGAAAGGTAGTAAAGACATTATCGCAATCGCGATGTCGAGCATACGCGGTTGACGCAAAATGCTGCGATTTTATATGAAATAAACTAATTAGGGCTGTTAACGCAATTAATGCAGTATCTGTTAATTTTTGCAATGCTAAGCAAATGCTTAAACCATTAATTCACGACAAGACAAAAAAAGATCACGTTTACTGTGACACACACACACACACACACAGAGAAAGACTCGCACCAGTCTCGTGCGTGCGCACAAGACAGCACGCCAGAATACAGTTCTCTTTCGCGCTTGAACAAACAATGACACACACAATTATGCCAAAATGTCTTTTTCATAACATAAGAGCAGTCGGCCGTGAAGAGTTGTGACTCGTGTGAGATCTGCGTCTCTGTCAGCAGCGGCTGCTCTTAAAGGGACAGTACACAGTAGCCACTAATTATCTCTGTCGTTAAAGTTAATCAAAGAACTAAGGGAACAGAAAAACACTCCCAGCAATTGACTACAGAACCTTTGTAACTTTAATAAGGATTATTCCATAATTTATAATTTTACAGCGCAGACTGTTGAACTTAATTCAATGTCTGTATATGTCCTGACAGGAATGTCCAGACATCGATGGCTTATTGATCATTATAGGTGTTATTAATCATTTAGTTTGAGTTGAGAAATACACATTTCAGCATTATCACTAATCTGTGTGTGCATTTTCCTTGAGAACAAAGCAAGTTCACTCATGAAACCTTTTGTTTATTATATCGCAATATTGACCTCAATAATCGCAATATGACATTTTCCCCAAATCGTGCAGCCCTAGTTATAAAGCGACGAGAATACATTTTGTGCGCAAACAAACCCTGAAATAGCGACTTTATTCAACAGTGCAGTGCTTCCAGTTTTACGTCAGAGCCGCGGCTCCTTATTGGCCGGCTCCTGCGTCAGCATCACATGCATGTGGCGTTGGCCAATAGTGAGGCAGCATTGTGCCGTAGAAACCGGACGCACCGTAGTGTGTTTACTTAGCCAATAGCGTCAGAGACTGACACGGAAGTATTTTTGTTTGTTTTTTGCGCACAAAAAGTATTCTTGTCGCTATATAACATTACATTTGAGCCGCTGTCGTCACATGGGCTATTTTAACCAAGTCTTTACTACCTTTCTGGGCCTTGAAAGTTGCAGTGACATCGCAGTCTATGGAGAGATCGGAAAACTCCAGATTTCATCAAAAAGATCTTCATTTGTGTTGGAAGATGAATGTAGGTATTACGGTTTGGAACGACATGAGGAATTAATATGCGTTAATTATATAAAGGGAATAAAAATAACTGTGTCAGTGTTGCAAAGTTCATCAATTGTGAAACAAATACAATGTATGCTGTAAAGCAGCTCTAGAGAAGACGACGGTGTCATTATTCAGCTCAGTACAGTAACAGTGTCAATGTTGCAAAGTTCAATTTAGGCCGCAAGTCATCTCGTCATATGGAAGTAAAATAATGACAAATGTTTTTGAAACTAAAAAGCTTGTTGAATTGCTAAAGATGAATAAAATGGACTGAAAATTGCCTGTTGAATATTATAGGTTGTATTTTTAAGCAAATTGAATATTTTGGAAGTGAAATCTGAAAGGTGAATATGGATTATTGAATTTTTAAGAATTAAAATGTGTGTGAAATGTTTTGACTTTTGAACTTAAATATACAACCATGCTGAATTTCAGCCCATAAAAATGCAAGCCCTAAAAATAAAATGCAAGCAGGGTTAA